CAGTGAAAACAAAACAAGAATTATGGTCAGCTACTAGCTTTTAAAGACAATTTTTTTGAAGAGCTGACAATAACAGGCTTTGCTTCGTTTTCAGCATATTTCGATTACTCTAAATACCGAAATGTAGTGGCGCCAGCGCTGTCTGCATATCATGATTGTTGCCGGCTGTACTGTCGCTGTGAAAAATTGAAACACTAGAAAGTCACCAGATGGTAACTGCCTTCAAAGCACCGCTTAGCACTAAACTCTTTTATAGCTGCACATCTTAATATAATTGTGTCTTTTTTTTCAATATTATTAATTTATTCGCCTGTCTTTTATTTGCTGTGCATTGATAGTTCATAATACCTCAAAAATTTATAATTCTTAGTCATTGCTTGAAACGTTTTTGTTATTTTGAAATGCTTGTCAGGTGAAAGCTCATCTAAGAAGAATTCAATTAAAGAGATCATAAGTTGGTGGGACACAAAATTGGTTGTTTACGAAAAAAGACTACAGTGTAAATTAAGAAATTTTTCTAAATTTTATAAAAAAAAAGTTGCAAACGTCAAATTACTGCTCAATTAAAATTTATATGGTTTAAAATTAATTACATGGTGTATAGAAAATATCGTTATTTGGCTATTATTTTTTCTAAAAAGACTAAAATCACAAAAAGCTTACGAAATAATTGAGTGGTATAATATTAATGTGATATTTTGAACGTCTAATTAACCAAAAAAAAAAAAAATGGCATTTTGTAGTTGAATCATTTTTTTTTTTCATATACTGCTTTATACTTGCTGATGACAATTTTCAGTACGCTCTGTTCATAAATCCACATTGAAAAATTGCATTGTCATATACCGCTGAAAAGTTCTTATCTACAACAAATTCCGCCGCATACTCATAATTTTTCTTACTAATTTTCGTGTTGTATTTGATAACAGCGTTCAGATGCACATAATTTTCTTTTTTTGCCGGCGCCAAGAAACAATTGCCAGTCAGATTATTGCGCTTTGCTTTACTTATAGGTTATCTACAAAAAGCTTCATAATAAAGCAGAGGCATATTTGCCCCCTCAACTGAGTTTTTAATGTACGCTTAAACTTTCAATTATTCTCTTTTTTAACTGTGTTAGGTATAACATCTTTTGTCGAATTAAAAA